TAAGTCACATGAATTCAAGCCAGCTCGGAAGCTGCAGATGTCCTTCCAGAGACCAAACTCTGAGACTGGTAAAGTCAGCATTGGGTGAGAACAAGAGACACATCAGGATAGCAACTCTGCGAGGGCTGAGAGGCCAAGGCCAGCAAGCCACTTCCTGGACAGGACTGGGAGCCTCTTGGGGACCAAAGCCCGCCCCCTCCTCTGGGCTCTTTGGCCCCATACTCCATGGATGTTCTGTGAAGGCTTGAACAACTGTAGGATGCGTGAATGCAGGGAGAGTTGGAACCTGGCAAGGCATAGCACACAATAACTGAATGGCCATGTGCACACTTAACTTACCACTAGGGCTGTCTTCAGTAGGAAACCTGGTTTCTGAAACAACCACTAAGTTCTGGCGTTTCCATGCATGCAAAGGACTCCACGGTTTCAGAAACAGAGGAGAGACAATGTACAGCTGCAAGCCCCATGACTGAGAGGCATCTTCTTTTGCACAAAAGGCCTGAACTTACTTCTGTATAGTCTTGTTTTTATATAATTACTCTCTAATTATGTTGTTACAAATGACATGAAACTCTTTTGCCAACTAAAACATAAAGCTTTTGTCTTCGGACTTGGGAAAACAAATAAGGAAGAGGCATATGTGTGCTAGGATAGTGCAGAGACGATGTTTATTTGCAGTCAGTTGTACATGTTTACTTGTCTACATGGGCTGTGTGTGCCATGCCTGTCAGTCAGACACTTTTACAGAAAGCACCGGGGTTGTGGATGAAGTGAGTTCATTCTTGCTTTCAGTCTAAAGAACAGGTGTTTGTATTTCAGCATTTGGTTCCATGTGTGATTTTGTTTTCTATGGGAGACTATTGTGACGGACCTTCCCGTGTGAACTCTGATTTGACCATGTTGGTGCAAGTCTGCTTTTGGAGCTGGGGCTGCTGTGTGGACCTCTGAGGCGGTGGTGCTATAGGAGAAGACTCAGTCTTGTGTTTGGGCCATATTGTGCTAGCTGGGCAGAAGAGGAAAGGAAGCAAGAAATGCAAATCATCTTCAAACCTTTGTTTGTTTGAGTTTTTTCTCTTCCACGCATGGTCAGTGTCTATTTCAAGTGAACACAGTGTGATTTGCTTCCTGCTCCTTTAGCTATAATCTACATTCATCTTCTTTTGCTCTAACATAGTCTTCAGAATCATCTGAGCCAGTAGATTCCTATCTCAGTTTTCTCCCATTCTGTTATGTTTCCTGATTGCCTAATCAGAACTGAGGCACTAGAGAAAACCCTTCTAAGTGCTAAATTCGCAAGTACATATATGTAGCACATGGATCCATTTCCTTGCCTTCCATTAGTGCTTAGAATGTCTCGGTGATCCTTACAAAATTATGGATTCATTTCTAGGCATGTACACACCTGTGGAGTAGTGTGTGTGTAGATCTATCTATCTATCTATCAATAGATAGATAGATATATCATCTACTCCATTAACGATTTTTAAGTATCATTGTTTACTAGAGATACATTGCTTACCATAAATACTAAAGAATACAGCAGACATCTAGAGCCCATTTGTCTTGCTGAAATAAAACTTTATACCTGTTGACAGAGCTCTGGGTAACCACGATTCCAAGCTTTGTTTCCTGAATTTGAGTCATTTAGGTGTCTCAGCCAAAGGGGATCACGCAAGCAGTCTTGTCTTGTTTCACTTAGCACGGATGCGCTCGAGGGTCTTTCTGGTTTGTTACTCCCGGACATTTTAAAAAGTGAAAACCATTAAAATGTGCGGCTCTCTACCCCGAGGAAATCCAAAGATAAGAAAACACGCCAGGGGGCTCATGGAGCTTGCATCCCCGATTGGCAGTGTATTCCAAAAGGTCACAGCTCTCCTAAGTCCAGGAAGGGTTCCAGGGGGGGCAGGCGTCTCCCACGTCAGGGCTGAGGCACGGGTGTGAGGGAGGGAAGAGCTCTAGGTCCACACCAGATCTTGGTGGTGTTGGGTAGTCCCCTCGCGCTCCTGGGCGTGCCGCGGTGACCCAGGTGGGAAAAGCCTAGGAGGAGGGAGCCCGCTCCTGCTCCGTGCTGCAAGCCGGTACTGTTGGGGCTGGGGGCCTGGATTACTAGCGCCTGCGAAGGAGAAAGGCAACACCTGCTGAACACGCCCTACCTTGCTTTGGATGCCAGCGGCCAAGCCTCACCGCCGCACGGACGCGCTCCCGCAGGGAGTCCGCAGAGGCGGCGGGGC